AAACGTTTTAAGATGAATAAAAATACGTTTCTTCGAAAATGTTTTAATAACGTATTTATCGTGTTTTTCTGGGAACAAATTCCACAACCTTTTTATAAAATGAAGTACTCTGATTTTCATAAAGCATAAACAAAAATCGGTCTTTTCTGGCCGTGATTTTGGGGATGTCACAGGCTGGGAGGTGTCCACGTCGCGCCTGCGAGGTTCGGTTCGGAGGAGGGTGACGAAGCTGCTCGGTGGCATCAGCAGCGAAGGGCAGGTGACGCAGCAGTGAGGCTCGGATGCGGCAGCTGGCTCGGATGCGAGGGTCGGACGCCAGATGTCGTGCATGCGACGTGGCCAGGTGCGAGGCTCAGAACGGTAACACGGAGCGAGGCACGTCGGAAGGCCATTGGGCCACGGCTTTGGACCAATCAGCGACGGACATAACTCGGTAACGCAGTAGCTTTGTGCCAAGGTGACGTGGCTGCAACGAGGGTCTCCGGTGGCTGGTACTATTCATGCGAAATTCTCGGATTTTGAGCCCCGAACTTCTAAAATCCATAACTTTCGTATACGAGCTCCGTTTTTGACGTTCTTTTTATGAACGCGTAGCTAAAATTACGCTCTACAACTTTCTTTTAGACTTCGTCGGCTAGTTTTGACCTTATTTTTAATATTGTTATTTTTAACAGACCGGGACAGGAAAATCCGTTAAAAATTCATAACTTCTTCATCCGACATCCATTTTCATCAGACTTTTTACTGTTGTACTACAAATGACAAGACCTTCAATTCTCGTTTAGGATGTATCGGTCAAATATCGCTCGATCTAAAATTCGAGTTTTTAGCTGTCTACAGCTAAGTTGAAACTTCGAAAAATCATAACTTCCTCATACGAAGTCAGATTTTAGCGTACTTTTTATCGAATTTCTCGGTTTAACGAATACTACGACTTTCATTTAGATTACTAAGGCTAAAAAGCAGTTTATCAAAAACTCACTTTTTACGTCATTCGGCGCCGTGCCGGTTTTGTCGCGGATCTTCGGTTGGTCATAACTTCTTCGTTATAACTCGGATTTCGACGAGGTTTTCGCCTACAAGTTTCTAACGAGATTCTCTACAACATCAAATAATAAAATTTTACTTATTTAAAATTTTATATTTTCGCTAAATTTCACTATTTGGTTTTTAATTGGAATCTCATAAGACTTCCAATATTTTATGAGTGATTCTAAACATCATTTTACTTCATTTCTAGTAAAAACCATTTGTTAGAACTCAACACTCAATTTCACATAGTATTTCACAATTGTATTCATTACAAAACACGATTTCAAAACGTGTATGTTACATGTTTCCTAAATTAACAAAATTATTTATTGTTATTTAACAATTATTATGTTTAATTATTTTATATAAACGTTTTCAATCGATTTTATTTGATGTGGTATAGATAAATAGTGTCAGTATAATAACTTCTATGTTTGCTCTAAATGAGTAACATATCTTGTATGTTAAACAGCAGTTTTGTTAACAACCACAAAAAAACAAACAAACTTCTCAAAAAAAAAAGTTTAAGATGGATTTAAAAAAAAGAAGAATAATAGACTTCATTGATAAATCACTTAACATATTTCATGCCTATATTTCTTTACTTAATACAATAAATATCAATGTTCTAAAAAGCCCGTCATGGTTCCGCATGGCGTGCTATGGTTCCAAGGCTTGTGTCTGCCGCCAAGTTTTACCAAACGTCACATTAACTCATATATGTATATAAAATAGAATAATAGTTGAAAATACATATAATAATATTAATTATATACAAAATTGTCTCCTTAAGTCACGTCTTACAAACAACGTGGTTTGCCAAGGCTCGGAAAAACATGAGACTTGACATTGCCGCCAAGTCACACCTTACGTTATTTAGAATCTTGATTAATACAGAGAAAAAGTCTTAACCAATAATGAGTTTATGGATTTAGATCCTCTTTATTTATGTTTTACCGTCCTTCTTTCACCCATGTTCTCTTAAAAAAATCAAGAGTGGACTTAAAAACTCATAAATATTAAGATTTTGTTGTTAGGACTAATATCACAAAAGTCCTATGTTTTTTACACTAAATTGGAAAAAGCCCTGAATTTAATTTTTCATTTACTGTGACCACAATATTTTCATTTGAGGGCAAAGAGCCGGTCACCAGCAGGTAACCTGTACCATCCGGTCACCACTAAGCTATTCCCTAGCCATCACCTTTCACAAACCATCACTACTAAAGGTTTTTCATGCATTCGAGAAGGTTTTGACGCTAAGAAGAGTTTCACAGTCCCCAGTTTCGCAACTTGAAGCTTCGAAATCGTTGGTGAAGTAAGGTTGGAGTAGAAAGGTACGTGTATGGAAACAAGAAATTGATGATTATGAGGGTGGGTATCTTCGTCTATGGAGTATGGAGTTCCAAGTTTGAACTAACAAGTTGTTTTTTTGGTTTTTTTTATGAAACAAATGGCTTCTACTTCTGGAACTAAGAAGCCTAAAGGGCCTAAGCTCCCTGAGAAGACATATCTTCCAAACTCTAACTCTGATGATGATGCATTTGACTTTAGCTTCTTGGATTTTTCTGAAGAAACTTTCAAAGCCCCCTCAAGACTATGTGATGACCAGTTTCTTAACTTATTGTGTAATGAAAACATATTAAGGAGGAGTATTGATGGAATGGTGGATGATGGAGACATTCCTGGTGTCTAACAAAAAGAGCATGCCTACTTAGATGAGGACAATGAAGATGTTGGTGTGGAGTATAGGGTGCATGATCCCAATGTTGACTGGGAAGAGATGAGGCCCCGATTAGGAGACTGTTATGAATCCCCTGCTCGACTCAGGTTTGCTTTAACTAACTATGCAGTCCATGGAGGGTACCATCTTTATTTTGAAAAAAGTGATAGAGTGAGGGCTATAACTAAGTGTGGTAGTGGAACCAGGGACAACAATGATAATAACAAAATACAGTGTCCATTTAGGGTTGCAACTGGATGGAAGTACAATGAAAGAACATTCTAGATAAAATTTTGTAATGAAATGCATCTGTGTGCTAGGAATTATCATTTTGGTTCCTTAGTTACTAGCAATTGGTTAGCCAAACACTACCTGAAATATGTAATCATGAAGTCCAAGATGGCATTGATAGAGATGCAAGCAGCTGTACTACAAAGGTTTTCAGTGAGTGTATCTCTTGGGCAATGCCAAAGAGCAAAGGCTACTGCAATGGCGATGATAGAAGGGAAGTTAGAAGACCAATATGCCAAGGTTTGGAACTATGCATCTGCAATTAGGTTGAGTAATCCGGGTAAAACTTGCTTGGTGGGGGTAGAAAGTAATCTGGGGTGTAACTATTTCAAAAGGTTTTATGTTGGCTTCAAGGCTTTCAGAGATGGATGGAGCAAAGGATGTAGAAGGGTAATAGGACTAGATGGTAGTTTCTTGAAGGGGCAGGTTAAGGGGGAAATTTCAACTGCTATTGGGAGGGATGAAGACAACCATGTCTACCCAATAGCATGGGCAGTTGTGAATTTTGAGAATAAGGACAACTGGACCTGGTTCATTGATAATTTAGTTGCTGATTTGGATCTTGGTACTGGAAATGGATTGGTTGTTATCTTATACCAACACAAGGTACCACAACATACACTAGTATACAATATATATTTGTATGTTACAGTCATTAATATTTACATTTGTTGTGTTGTTTTTGTTTGTCAATTATAGGGACTTTTACAAGCTGTGGCAAACCTACTCCCTCATCTTGAACATAGAAAATGTGCTAGACACATCTTTGGAAACTTTAGAAAGAAATACACAGGATTAGAGCTAAAGAGTTTGTTCTGGGAAGCTGCTATGAGTATAGTGAAAGGGGACTTTCTTGCTACAATGGAGAAGATAAAATAGATAAGAAAAATAGGATACACCTATCTTATGGCAAGGAAACCTGAAACTTGGTGCAGAGCTTTCTTTTCTCATGGGTATGCTTGTAAAGCAGTAGAGAATGGGGTTAAAGAATGCTTCAATGGCATGATCAAACAAATAAGGAAGAAGCCTATAATCACAATACTTGAGGAAAGAAGTATTCTCCTTATGAAAAGGTTTTTTCATCAAGGTCAAGAGGTGGCCAAATGGAGGGGTAATTATGGGCCTAACATACAACTAAAGCTTAATGAATTTGGGAAAGATATGAGGTAATATAAGTTTTTATTGGCATGTATCCAAAAATATTAAGTATTTATATGTGTACTTTGTTTGTTATGTGTGTAGGTCGTGGATAGTGGTGCCAAGTGGTGGTGATGTGTTTGAGACTAGGTATGGCTACAATGGATACAATGTTGATTTAGCCAATCACACTTGCACCTGCAACTTGTGGATGTTGTTGGGCATACCATGTGTTCATAGTCAAGTTGCAATCAACTATGTCCACAAAGATCCAAGGTAATTCCTTTCTTCTTGGTTCCACAAGGACAAATATGTTGCAACCTACAGTCAGAACATACAACCTGTAGGTGGAAGCAACTTGTGGCCAATGACTGGGTTTATTAAACCATTACCACTCCCAGTTAGAAGGATTCCTGGAAGACCCAAAGTAAATATAGTGAAGCATGCATCTGAATCAGAAGATGCCAAATACCCCTCACAAAGGTTAAAGGTTACTATGACTGTGAGGTGTGGAAAGTTCCAACAACTTGGGAATAATAAGATTTCATGCAAAAATGATGAGGTACCTAAGCCCCCTGTCCCCAAAAGAAAGATTGGAAGACCTAGGAAAGATGAGGGAGGCCAACCTTTCTTTGACCAATTCCCTCCAGTTGAGCCTGCTATACCAAGAAGTGATGTTGCTCTTCCCCCAGTTTCAGAATGTGGTGATTAAGTTGGTGGGCCTGATATACCAAGAAGTGATGTTACTCCTCCCCCAGTTTCAGAATTTAGTAATCAAGTAGGTGGTCCTAATGTTAGTCCTCTGAAAAGGACTAAGATGATGGCAAGGAGAGGAGGGAAAACTAAAGTGTCTGGATCAAGGAACAAAACACTAAATAAAACACCTAATGACAAGAAACATAAGAGTAAAGCAAAGGAGGATGTGTCCCTAACCTGTGATGAGGATTTTGTTGATCTTTTTACCCATGCACCTAATGGTAAGCAAGGTATGAGTCAAGCAAAAGAGGATGTTCAGGAACAAGAACATGATGACAATGAGGTGAATGTGAGTGAAAGACTTACTTTACAGGAGTTGTTGATGTCTGGATATACACATGTTGATGCAGTGGTTGCTATGAAAGAGGTATGTTTTGGTAATCACTATTTTGTGCTTTCATATTGTAGATTTACTAACTAGCCCTCTATATTGTAGTTTTATGGAGAGGTTGAGGAACAACAGATTGAAGAAAAAGAGGCTGAGGAAGGAATTGAAGAGGTTGAAGAAAACGAGGTTGAGGAAGAAGAAGTTGAAGAGAGAGAGAGAGAGGTTGAGGAACAACTGATTGAAGATGGAGAGGTTGATGAAGGAGTTGAAGAGAGAGAGTTTGAAGAAGAAGAAGTTGAAGGCATACAGATTGAGGAAGAAGAAGTTGAAGGCATAGTGGTTGAGGAAGAAGGATTTGAAGAGAGTAAGGAGTTGTGTTTAAGGGTTCAATGGGTAGAATGGGTATTAGTAAATAAGTTACCCTTTTTGTAAACATCTACTTTGGGTACACTTGTCTTTTGGTAACAAGCTTCCAATTCATATCCATGATGTTTCGTAGAATTGGAAGTTTGGTTCTAATTAGGTTAAATGGTATGATAGTGGTTTGTGGGAAGCATTGTAAAGTACATTCCCATTTTTGGGCTGTTAACTAACATTGATATTTGGTATGATTGTTAAGTTATCAATATATATATATATATATATATATATATATATATATATATATATATATATATGCCTTGATCACTATAATTGTTGTTGCCTTCCATATTTTGGTTAGCTTGGTAAGTAGGTTTATACATATGTATGTGTTAAATGACTTAATACATTGTTATCATTAAGACATAATAAGTTGTTGTCATTGTCATCTCTTACAAAACCAAAATAGTGCCATACATAACACATGCATCTACTTACTGCCTAACTTGACCAAAATACACTTACACCTAAACTACTACTACCATTCCACTCGAACCTAACTAATGCCCACAGCTTCACATTGCTTTAACCATAACATTGTAAACCATAAACCCCATCACTATCACCACCACCAAAAGCATGACCATCATAAGTAGCTCCACTTTCAACAGGTTTAAAATATCCAGTTGAACTGCTTTGTTGTTCTTGGCCTCCTCCGAAAGCTTCAAAACCTCCATTCCAAATGCTTTATTGTTGTTACCCTCCTCCAAATCCATATGGAACTTCCACATAGTTTCCTTGTATTAAGTGTTTCGCATGGGTGGATCAAGCCATAAAAAAAATCGCATTTTTTTAGTCCTGCACAACAATCACGTGTTCATAATGGTTTAACAAGACCACAAAAAATTACTTAATATTACCTGATAGTTTGGACACCCCCTGAATTTCCTCCATGGATTATCGACATTTTTGGAGATCGAGAATGTAGCAGGTTCATCACATTCGCATCTCAAATCTTCAGACCAACGATTCGTTAAAGCCCACTCTTTGTAACCTTGTGTGTGCGTGTTGGAGGAGCTTACCATATTTTTGGTTTGACGTTGGAGAGAAGAATCGACCCACAACTACCTCCAAAGTTCGACTAAGCTACGCAACCTGCTGAAACCAGCTTTGTGCCCTCAAACGATAAGTCAATGAAAATATCGTGGTCACAGTAAATGAAAAATTAAATTCAGCGTTTTTTCCAATTTAATGCCAAAAACATAGGACTTTAGTGATATTAGTCATTTGTTGTTAAGATAAAATTTCATTAAAAAGACAAAAAATATAAGAATGTGTGGTTGAAATAGTTAAGTAGTATGGTTATATATATATATATATATATATATATATATATATATATATATATATATATATAGAGAGAGAGAGAGAGAGAGAGAGAAAAACTTCTTACCTTTCTACCAAAAATTTCCTTCTTATTTGATCTTGACTCTATATATATATATATATATATATATATATATATATATATATATATATATATATATATATATATATATATATATATTCAAATTCCAACAAAGACAATTAAATGTTACTTTTTTTATTTGATCTTGACTCTATATATATATATATATTCAAATTCCAACAAAGACAATTAAATGTTACTTTTTTTATTTTTTATTAAAAGTTTTCAATGAGATTTGAATCCAAAACTTTTACTTGTGCTTTAGCTATTTCAACTAAATCTTGTATTTGTTTGTATTTAGGGTGAAAATTATCGACCAAACTTGTAATCCGATACGAAAATAAATGAGTTTGGGTTGAGATTTCTGACCCGTTAACCCGTTTGTTTCATGGGATGGGTTGGATTAGTTGTTTGAGTTCGCCAATCCGACTATATATATATTATATTTAGAAAAAAATATTTATGAATTAATGCAAAGCCATAAAATTATTTATGTGCCTTTCAAATGATCATAAATTTAATTTTATATATCGTTTCTATTTGAAGATCATGAAAAAGAACCCAAGTTGGAGAAAGAAATAAGAATTGTAGTATGAATGAATTATTGAACTTTTTTTCAAATGTTTTCAATTTCATTTAAACGTTTATGACTTTACGCTGAAAAAAACTTTTTTTTTTCAAATGTGTTGCTTGTTAAGTTATTATGTATGATATTTAGGCTGATATTTGGTTGTTCATTTTATTCTAATCAATGTAAAATATTAATTGTTAATTAGTTTAGAGATATGTATATTTCGTATAAATTTAATATTTGAAAAGTTATCCAAAAATAACTCGTTGATTCTTTGACCCAAGTCGACTCACTAACCCGCAAACACGTGCACCAATATATTTAAACAAATTATATGGGTTAGATTGGGTTGATGTTTCCAACCCGTCAACCTCTCACCAGATATATTATATGGGTTGGGTTGGGTCAATGTATTTTGACCCGTCAACTCGAACCAACCTAATTGTCATGTTTATTTATATTTTTCAGTAATAATTTAAAATTTGTATAGTACTATATAGGGTAAATGACACAAAAAAAACTCTTTCTATACATAAATTCGATTTTGACACCGTGTTTATTTTTGTGTCAATTTTGACACTGTATTTTCCAATTTGTTACAATTCTGACCACTTGACCGGTTAACCAGGTTACATGCTGACGTGGTATGATGACGTGTCAGTTTTGATGATGTGGCATGCTGACATGATATGCTGACATGTCAAAATTGATTTTTTTTTCCACAAAAAACACTAAGTTTTCACTTTTTTTGATTTTGACACTAAGTTTAACTTTTTATTTCAATTTTGACACTATGTTTTTTTTGTTCCAATCGAACATCATTTATCAAATTTTGTTAAATTTTATCTATTTTCTATTTGAAACCGTATAAATATATTTTTTTATTACATTTTAAACCATATAAACATATTTTTTTCGTTTAAAAACCACATTTTTATTTAAATACAAGGTGTTTTTTTTTCTTACATTCAAAGCATTAGTTATATCATGAGAATCACATTAACCATAAGCTTTTAATAAGATGTAAAAATTTGATGGGTTGCAAACTTGATATCTGAGTTTTGATCGACTACACGCCTCCAAACCTCCAAACACATTTTAAAGTTGCATATTTAATATAAAATACAGTTTTTATATAACTAATACATATTTATATATAAAAATATGGTTTGAGTGTAAAAAAAAATGTATTTATACAAAACTATGGTTTTTAAATGAAAAAAAAAACATTTTTATACGGTTTAAATGTATTAAAAAGATATTTATACGGTTTCAAATAAAAAATTGTCAACATCGAACAAAATTGGAAAAAATGATGTTCGATTTGGAACAAAAAAACATAGTGTCAAAGTTGAAAGAAAAAATTAAACTTAGTGTCAAAATAAAAAAAAAATTAAAAAAAAAAAAAAAAAGTGAAAACTTAGTGTTTTTTGTGAGAGAAAAATTCAATTTTGACACGTCAGCATATAATGTCAGCATGTCACGTCATCAAAAACTGTCACGTCAGCATGTAACATGGTTAACCAGTCAAGTGGTTAGAGTGGATACCTAATGGCGGTCATTTTATAGGTCGCTTCCTTCAACACCCCTTATAGACCAGCTTTGTGAATGAGTCCTACTAACGGTAAAACTGACTGTTTACTTATACATATATAATATATTAGACTTTTAATTTTATATAGTATAAGGGTGTATTTACACATTAAAAATATTAAGTGCTTTAATCTATTAATACATCAGACTATTAATTTAATTAAACTTAAACCATGTCATTATGTATTTATTAATTCTTTCTTTTAATTAAACACTTAGTTAATTTAATAAAATCATAAGGGTGTAATTTAAACTATCCACACTATCAAGGTTCTAAATTTAAAATTTCAAAATTAAAGCTATTTAATTAAATTTCAAATTACAAAACCAAGAGGTGCACTTTTGAAACTTTTTCAAATTACTAGGATTTAAGAATTTAATATTTCAAAATTAAAACTTTTAATCAAATTTTAAATTCCAAAACTTAAGGGCTAATTTTGAAAGTTTTCAAAACATTTTGATCAAATTTGAAAACCAATTAAATTAATCTCATAATTTATCTTTATCACATAATTTGACATAATCTTATAATTTTAGCAAGATAAACACAAATCAAAGTTTACAAATAATTAATTTATCATATAATCTAGTAATTATCTTAAAATTTGACAATTATCCTTCAATTATGAGGATATCAATTACCATATCATGAAATTCGAAATTTAATAGTTAAAACAACTTATGGTAATTATCCTAATCTAATTTTGGCTAAAAATCCGAAAAATCTGTCATCAGAATTGAGTTCACGCCGTGAGCACTATGCTCACGTCGTGAGAACCCAACACCTTGTGGTCATCAGACAGAAAGCAAAAACGAAAATTTTCCAGCTTTGAACAATTCACATTAATATCACATATAACAGAAAAACGACCTAGTCTTTGAACCACTGATGGGTTTTAAGCATTACAACATTCCTATGGTGTACATGCAACCCTAATGCTTTGGATCCAGGTTTTTCTCAAGTTATACATGCAAATAATCATCCAAAGCATAAACGCTAAGTCTATCATACATAATTTCGAATTTTACAACCAAAACCAAGTTAGATGAATACATTTTCCTTGTAGTTAGTTGATCTTGACCTTCAAGAGCTTAGTGACCCAATTGTTGCACCTCTAATGAGTCACAAACACCAAGTAGCAATGGAGAATTGTGAGAGAGAGGTTAGGGACTTGTAAAATCGGCTAAGGTTTCTAATGGGATCATAGATGTCGATTTTGAGGAGCTAGGGGTTCCTTTTATAGTTGAGGCACTTCGGGTTTACAACTTGGAAACCCTAATTCCCTTGCTTAGGCCCTAAGCAACATATGAACTTCCTATTGTAACTGGATGTAACTTGCTACAGCATGTTATAATGGTTATATGTAAACAATTCCAAAAAGTTTGTTACCTAGATGTGCACAAAAAAATAGTTACATATACGTAAACAACCCGAAAAGTTAATTACCTTAATAAGTCTTATGACCCTTTAGAAATCCAAAAAATTTTGAAAAACTATAAAAATCATTTTTCTAATTTACATATAATTTGGAAAACAAATAAATAATTCATGTTCTTAAAAAAAATTTAAAAACTGAATCAACCAAACACGTTTTGAAAATTTTCATTTTCATTTGAAAATTTTTATGAAAAACTATCAACTAAAATTTTTCACAACGAAACGCACTGTAATGTTTTATATTTTCCATAAACCGGTCAAGTCATAAAGAAAATGAATACCTAAATTCTCAAGGACAACCTCCACACCATAATATCACATAATGAATCCCACAATTCACAATCAAACACCTCTCGAGTTTAATATGATGGATTTGACTAATATCACATTTGTTTTTATAATGGATTTGACTTCTCAACTACTACCTGATCAATACGATTAGTTTACCATATCCGTCTTAACTTTTTTTTTTTTTTTGTCCTTCTAATATCATACGTTTTCATAGCATGTAAAATTTTTCTTGAATTTGAATCCCACAAGTTAAATCCATTAGATGCCATGCTTGTTAACTAGAATGTCTAATTTTGTTGATTTATTAGAAAAACGTATTTTCCAACTAGTAAATGTCTGGTTCGTTTCAAGATAGATATTCTATAAGTGGGTAATTCAAAATGTAATTAATGCTTAAAAAATAGCTTACCATTACCTCTCAATTCAATGTTTGGCCCCTACCTAGGAAAATGTTTGCTTTTTCTCCTTCACGAGCTTTAAACTTTTTTTTTCTACTAATGCATTATGCATCTTATTGTTTAGTTACGCCAAATTAATTTTCGTGGTATTAGGGTTATATTAACTTTACTAACCATTTAAAGGACTTTGTAAAATTTATGTATGTAATATTCTAATAATGAATGTTTTTTGTATGCAAATGTAATTAGAAACTTTTAGGCTTTATATAATTATACGATACAACTTTTTGAAGTGAAAATTGTTATATACAGAAAAAAAAAATGTTGTGCATGGATCAACTTTCCAATATGATAAACGTATTATATGTTAAAAACATGAATTTTCACATATAAGGTTTTTGTCTGAAACTAGATTTACATAATACAATAGTGGATTTTAGAAATCTAATAAAAACAGACGTTGAATGATGAGGTCAAACTTTAACCACATAAATTAGTTAGCCATCAACCTTATTGTTCTCTACATCCAGAAAGGGTCGTTATTTTTTTCGCAAGAAAACATGCGCAAAATATTGAAAATCATTAGCATGAATATTATAGTTGGAATAGTTAGCGGTTAGATGGCAATTTGAAAGATTTTAAGAAATTTTAAGTATGTTTGTTTGTAGAAAATTATAATCGGTTGGAAAAAGATTAAAAAAAAAATGGAGTATTCACTTTTAGTAACTTGTTTGACTATAAATTATTTGAGTTTTAATTTTCCATTATAGAAAAATTAGAAAAAAAAACATATGTATTTTCTTTTATTTTTTATTCTTTGCTATTTCAAATAATACAGTATTACATTTAGTAAATATTATGTAGGGTCGGTTCAGATGGTGGACAACTTAAGGAATCCAAAAAACCCAAGGCTTTTTGTGCTATGTAGTTTGAATCAACTCGAGGGCCCAAAAATTTTGGGTTATATATATATATATATATATATATATATATATATATATATATATATATATATATATATATATATATATATATATATATATATATATATATATATATATATATATAAAGTTATTACCTAATTAATTTTTAAGCTCTAAAGTTGATTCAAACTCAAACTACCTCAAAAGATAAATAATTTGGTTCGTTTGTTATTACTAATTGAACATGTCTATAGTGAAGAATAAATGATACCTTTTTTAATTTTTATTATATGTCTTTGAGGGTTTTTTTTTTCTTTTCGTCTCGGACCCCATATACGTTTGGACCGGTCCTGATATTATGCATTGTTCATAATGACACATCAAACTACAGTTTTTTACATGATTTAGTAATTTACAGTAGTTGTTCATATGTTATTACATTTTTTGAGAATTAAATAAATGGTCCTTTTGTAATAGTAAAAATTACATACATGGTCTAGTCACTAGTGTCCTAGCATTGCATAAAACAAACAAAATTACAAAAAACTATTTTTGCAGGAAATAGCCTTTTTGCATTAGTTTATTAGTCAAAAATAGCATTTTGTATGATTTAAATAGTTTAAAAGTCAGGTGTAGTTTTAAACTTTACGTTTAATTGCTTTGTCAAATGATCCAAAGCACCATGGCAAGCAAAACTCGGCCCAAACCGATATTGCAATTTGACATTAAAGGGAAATATGATCATTGATTTCTTCCGACATTTTAAAGGACACGACCAAACGAAACAGTTTTGGCAGCCATTTATTCCATTTAAGACTTCAGAGCGCTTAGTTCCAGGGTAGAAAATGCTGAATCTATGACTTGTCATACCGATTTTTTACATGGTGTTAAAATTCCTAACGATGGTCCTCTGTTTCGCATTTGTTTTATACCGATGATGCGTTTTTCGTTGGGGATTGGATGAGCTCAAATTTTGCAAACGTGGTCTGTATTCTTAAATGTTTTAATGCAACCTCCGGTTTAAAAGTGAATTTTCATTAATCGAAGGTGTTTGGTATTGGGGTTTCTAGCAATGAGGTGTCAAGTTGTGCTAGGATCGAGTGTGAAGCGGCTTCCTTCTCTTTCAAGTACCTTGGGGTCCCAGTTGGAGCTAAGATGAATCTTAAACGGAATTGTTTGCCATTATTGAAAAGGTTCAATCCAAACTTTCTGCGTGGAAAGCTAAACAAGTTTCTTTAGGTGGCCGTTTAACTCTTGTCAAATCGGTCATTGGATCTTTACCTTTATTTTTCATTTTGCTGTTCATGGCTCCTAAGTCCGTTATCGAGTATCTTCAGAAGATTCGCAGACGTTTTCTTTGGGAGGGAATGAAAGAAAAAATAAAATCAATTGGGTGGCCTGGAAGGGGTTCTTGGGCCTAAGGATCAAGATGGTCTCACTCAAGTCATTGAATTGGGCTTTGTTATACAAATGACTTTGGTGGTTTAAATGTGACTCGGTTTTTTTATGGAAGCAAGTCATCTATGACATTCACAACAAGAGAAAACTCATTGACAGTCTTGCCAATAAATCAACTCCTGGAATCTGGTTTATTGTCGTCAAGGTGGCCCATGTGGTGGAGGAGGTTGGAATCGACGTTTCTTCAGTTTTTCAAATACATGTTAATTCCGGTAATACTATTTTGTTTTTGTTAGACGATTGGATAGGTTGTAGTTCATTGGCTACACGATTCCTAGCTCTTTTTTTCCTTGATAAGAAAAAATCATGTTATATTGAGTAGAGCATCTTGAATAATAGATTTGTCGGGGCTTGGAGCAGAATTCCTAGTAGCTATATTGAAATCGAGGAATTGAGAGGTTTAAGTGGCTGCACAGAAGAGATGGTTTTGAGTAACGAGTCGGATATTTGGAAATCAAAGCTATCTCTTAATGGAACTTTTCCGTTCATGATTTGTGTGTCATTACCGATTCTAAGTTTACTGTTCCTATGCCTAATCCGACTGTTTGGTTAAGTTGATCCCGTTGAAAATTATTGTCTTTGTTTGGAGGGCTTGTATTGATAGGCTTCCTTCAACTATGACTCTCATTCAAAAGGGTATTTCTGTCTTGAACATCTCTATCAGTTCGGCGAAATGGTGGAATCGACGATTCCAATCATTTTTCTTTCTAAGTTGTCCTCAGGTGGAAGTTTCCCTAAGGTTGATCTTTAATTGGTGTGGTATCCCATGGCAAAAATTTTATTCAGTTGGGGGATTTGTGCAATTTGCTGCAACTTGGATAAATTGTCAAAAAAAGGGAAGATTTTGTTGGTCATCCTCTATGGTCTCTATGGTTTCTTATAGTGTATTAGAAAAGCGAGAAACGATAGCATTTTTAATAATCTAAGTGCTTCTCTTTTTCTGTTGGCGGATAGCGTGTTCGCTATGGTGTTTGGTTGGATCAAACATAGGGATAATTACGAGAATTGTAATTGGATGGTTTGGGTTTGCTCTCCCTTTGATATCATGTAATCGTTTTTGTTTGTACTCTGTTTTTTGTTTTTCTTTGCCCGACCTTGTTTCTGTATAGGCTGTGGTTTTTAATAAAATTTCGCTGTTTCCAAAAAAATGTTAGGTTGATATGAAATAATAAAAGCAAGAAATTACAATATAATTATATATAACATTAAAACACAACCGGCTTATGAACAATACAAATTTAAATTTGGAGCCGTGACTAGTATATTGACCAGATGGAAATGTTATCAATTGCAAATTTAGAAGTTCATTTCAGTTTTGGGTATTTTTTATTTTGTAGCATTTACTCAAAGGGTTGTATGTTTTTGACCTACCAACACAGTCATCAGTCATCAGATGTGAACTCTATGGTCAAACTCACAACATGTGAAAGATGATTTTGAAGCTTCAGTGTCCATTTCAAATGAAGCTTCATTCTTCTTTTTCCCACTTCAAATGGGGAAAGCTACCTCTCAATCTGCTCTTCAGCACCAGAAGGGTATTTCTGTCATTCATTTTTTTCTAAAAATTGAAGGAGCTAAGATGTCAGCAACAGCATAGTTCGATAATATGACACCAAGTTCTAGAAAACTCTTATAGCTTTAATGATGACTATATTGACATAGATCAACTTTGTTTATACAATTTACTAAATCTAAAAATATGATTGGTTTTAATGAAATTTTTATGATTTGTAGGTCCAAATGGGTTGGAAGAAGTCAAATTTTACAACCATAGCTATGAGTCAATAACCCTCTAGTTCCTAACCTATGTATGTAGTGTTAGAAATTTGGGTCGGGTTTATAGATTTGGGTAGGGTTTATATTGAAGATCTGGCTACCCTTGGATCATATAACCACTTTCCGAACTTATATTTCTACACGATACACGGGTTATAAGAAATTCAACTTAAGATAATCCAAAATGACACTTACTAATCTAGGCACAGAAAACACAAGTTAGATTGCTAGGAGATTCTGAGTTTGTATGAAGAAAAACTCCGCTAAAGGGTTATCCTTCTCAAAAAGAAGAGTCGATTATGAAACCCCTTAGCTCACATATAAGTTTCAATTACACAAAATATCATGATGACGCTAAAACCACCAACATGTAGCTTGGTATAAGAAAATAAAATATACAAATACATAAATCACAAAAAAAAGTAACTCAAAAAGTAATCCCGCATCTAGTTTAGCTGTTTAGGTTATAAATAACAATTGGAATGCAAAGACCCTTATTTATCATAGGCATGTCTCTTACTCTTAGTATTTTGGTCTTTTAGACGCAGATTTTGTTTGTTGCCTCAGCTTCATTGACTTTGTTATCGACTTAGCCACCATGAGGGTTCTGTTGTCTCTGTAGGGACACCAACAAACCCACCATCAGCCTAAACAGATCCAAACAAAACAACCATACACAGAGGAAAAAAAAAAAAAAAAAAACTACCAGAAATGTAAATAATGTATATGTCATGAAAAACCCAAAATTTAACAACCATTGTGCAAAATTGAAGAGAAGAAGCAAAGTCTATAAACATGTAACTAGTAAATAACATAAGAAAAGATATGGTTACATGGTATAATACCCTGTAAGAACACCAGAAACTCGATTAAGTTAGTGTTGAGACCATTGTATACTCTTGATGTCAATCCCCTCCTTCACCATTTCATAAAGTGGACTCATTTCCCTCAACTTCTCAACCTGATTAACAGTCAATTCAACAGCTTTATCTATCTCTTCTTCAGTGGTAAACCTCCCAATCCCAAACCTAATTGAAGTATGCGCCATATCTTCATCAACACCCAAAGCTCTTAACACATAAGAAGGCTCCAAACTAGCACTAGTACATGCACTTCCACTTGATACAGCCACCTCCTTCAACCCCATCAACAAGCTTTCACCTTCAACATATGCAAACGACAAGTTCAAGTTACCTGCATATCGACTTTCAGTACTTCCGTTCACCACAACCCCATCAAGCTTTGATCTGACTCCATTTAAAAGCCTGTCTTTCAGTTTTGTCACCCACTTCTCATCGTATTCCATCTCCTTCATTGCAAGCTCGCAGGCTGCACCCATTCCGACCACCAATGGAGTCGGAACTGTCCCGCTTCTGATCCCTCTTTCCTGTCCACCGCCGTTCATCTGTGGCTCAACCCTAATTCGAGGTCGCCGCCTCATATACAAAGCTCCAACGCCTTTCGGACCATAGACTTTATGTCCGCTTAACGACATCAAGCTAATGTTCCACTTGTTGACGTCGATTGGAATCTTCCCTAACGCCTGAGCTGCATCTGTGTGAAACGGGATGTTGAATTCCTTACATATTTCACCGATTTCTTCCATTGGTTGAATAACTCCGATCTCGTTATTCACAGCCATCACCGACACAAGCCCTGTATCGCTCCGAATTGATGATCGGAGCTCGTTTAGATCGATCAAACCATCGGGTTTCACCGGGAGATACGTGACATCAAAACCCTCTTGCTGCAAATGACGGCATGAATCGAGAACACACTTATGCTCAGTCTGAGTCGTGATTACGTGCTTTCTCTTCTCCTTGTAGAAGTGCATCACGCCCTTTACAGAGATGTTGTTACACTCGGTGGCGCCGGATGTAAAGACAATTTCTTTTGGCGATGCGTTGATGAGATTCGCGACTTGCAGTCGTGCAGCTTCCACCGCCTCGTCGGATTCCCAACCGTAGAGGTGAGTGCGTGAGTGAGGGTTTCCGTATTGAGAGACGAAGTAAGGGAGCATAGCATCGAGTACCCTAGGGTCAACAGGAGAAGTGGCTTGCATATCTAGGTAGAGTGGTCTTCCTGAGATCTTTACCCCTTTCATTGAGATTCCGGCGGTCTCATCGTAGGGTTCCGCCACGGCCGCCGCGGTGGTGGAGAGAGAGCGGACGGGTGTCAGGAGTCTGAGGGATATCGATCGGCGGACGGCGGCTGCGAGAAATTTGGAAGCCATTATTCGGCTGGTAGGTCTGCGGAAAAACTCTTCGAGATACGAAGGCAGAAATGGGGAAGAAGCTAAGGATACAAGGCTTGCTGGCGGTTGAAAGATATTACACGTGGCGCGTTACCAGCCGTTGCTCAAATGCTGAAAAAATTAACGTGGAATCGTTAAGAATTAAGATGGATGAAAAGTATACAACGAGAAAAATGACTATTTCTAACGTTTGAACTATTTTTTACTGAATTAATTAATTAAATATTTGAAATATTAACATTACAAGACATTATAGAAAACCCATTTCATTAATTTAAACGTATCCACAGTTAATATGGTTTTGCAATTTTAAACAAATAAACATAAAACAAAGTTAAACATAAAGGATCCAAAAAGCATAAAACCAAGTAAACAACCATTGGAGTTCTAATCTGATTTCAGCAAAACATATCTGATTTCAGGAAGAAGGAAGCATTAAAAAAAATAACATAAAGAATTCAGGAAGCACCATTGGAGTTCTAATATGATTGCAACAACATATCTAAATTCAGGAAGCATAAACCTAATATTTGGAGTTCTAATCTGATTTCAACAAAATATAAGAACCAATATGATTTCAGTAAAAATTATGAAGCATATATTAGGAGTTCTAAATTGATTTCAGCAAAAAATAAATAAATGAGAGCTGAAGCAGTTATTTCATGTTTGTGTACAAAGGTTGGCATTTCTTTCGAGGGTAATAAGAATTCATCTACAAAAATTGAGCAAGAAAAAAAAAAAAAAAAACAGTCTTTGTGTTTCTGATGCAACATAATCATGATTATAAATGAAACTCAAACACATAACACCTTAAGAAGAAATAAAATAGCCTAACTAATATGGGAATGCAAAGTTAAAATAGGTTTTGTTGCAACATAATCAAGATTACGAATGAAACTCGAACAGATAACATCTTAAGAATAAATAAATTAACCACCAAATTATGCCCAAACACGTAACATTTAAAGGCTTTGACTGTAAATCACTAAATTGTGTGCAGGTTAGGAAAAATCACCAAAAATGCATTAATATAATCGACTTACTGCAAAAAATTGATCAATTGGAAAGGCGACAGGTGGTCGGCGACTGATGAGGGAGGCCGCAGGTGGCCGACGACGGATAAGAGAGGCGACAGATGGCCGTTGACGATGAGGTGAGGCGGATCGAAGGGGAACGACAAGAGAGCCCTAGTTTTTTTTCTAAACAAACCAAAGAGTCAAAGACTCCTCGATAGGAGGAATAATTCTTCTTTCTTTTTTTCTAAAACAATAATATTAAAATTTAATTTGAAATAATACTATTTTGATAAATAGTTTCTAAACAACCCAATTTTAGTAAATAGTTGTTGCAAATATCATATTAACCCAAAGTTTATTTTAAAAGGGAAAATTTTACATATATCCTTGCAAACATTAAGAATTACGTCTATATCCTTCCAAAGTTCATAATTACGTATATATCATTCTTAACCTATTAAAATCACATTTATATCCAATCTTATAATTTAATGAGGTATTAATGAATTTAATACAAAAAAACGTATTTAAAAATCAAAATAAAAGTTGATTGTACTAAATTACCCTTTTCAAAACTAAATAGATTTAATTAGCATTAAACCTAATTAATAAGGCAAAACCTAAACACATGAATTGTAAACCCCAAAACGTGAAATCTCCTAACTTTTTCATCACGTTTTTTCTTCTACAAGCCGTGAGAATTTCTCCTTCGTTTCTTAGAATATCGCTGCTAGAACAATAGTAGTAAATCACATTATTTCTTCATATCAGGTTAATGTTATTCTTCCTTCGATTAATTTTGGTTTCAATTAACTTTTTGCATTCGATTAATTTTTGATTATGTATTCAATTATTTGGTTTGCAATAGACAGATTATTGTCCTCCTCTTTGATGGATAATGAGATTTCTTCTAAATTTTAATCAGGTGAAATAAAAATAGAACAGAAACTGAAAAAGAATAAGAAGAATGACAAAGGAGAAGAAGAGGAATGTAGAACAGATTTGGATGATGGAATTTAGTATGTATTTGTAGGTATATGTACATGTTAGTGCTAGAGTGGTACGTACAGACTTTATAGAAATCACAAATTGAAATAGTGGTACGGACTACACAAACAAACGTTGTAGAAGATGATTTCAAATGGAGTATTATATACCCAATTATCATACTCCGAATAAAAAATTGAACACCGGTGTGTAATATGGTTCAGTGAATCAGAATAATTCAAAGTCGCTTTTGACATTCCAAATATCGCCTTATCAAAATCATAAATCGATGTGTCGGCGTATTCAATAATAAGCAATGTAATCTATGCACATTAGCTTATTCACAGCAAATCCCTAATTTATAAGCGAATAACACATACAAAATTAGACATGAATTCAATACCTACTGATACTTGAAATTGAGGCTTGATGCTCCCACATACTTGAAATTGAGGATTGACACTTCAATTGATGGCCATCGGTGATAAGAGGATGGGGGATGTGTGGATGACGATTTTTCTGTCATGAAGAACATGGTTAGGAATTTTCAAGGCGTGAAGGTCGGCAATGTAGCTTGCCAGTGGTGGTAGTCGGTAGAGGGCTAAGAGGGAAGAAGGTTAAGAGGGAAGAGGGTGACGCCGTGAGGGAGACCGGAAGATAGGAGGAGGGGGAGATGAGCTCGATTTTTTGGGGAGGAGAAAGGTCAATCTGGGATGGATTGATCGAGGTTCAAGGGAATCATTTTTTTTTTATTGATTCACGATTTCTAGAAAAAAAAAAAGAATGGCATTTAATTTGAATATAATATGTAAAGGGTATTTTTGTAAATTTATTTGTATTTATGATTTTTAAATATAATTTTTGATAGTGATTTGATTAATATTTCATTAAATTATAGGATTGGATATATATATGAGAATTTAATATGTTAAAAAGGATATATAGGTAATTTCGAATTTTAGAAGGATATAGACGTAATTCTTAATGTTTGCAATGATATATGTGAAATTTTCCCATTTTAAAAAGTCATTAAATTATTTTTGGTACATAAAGGGAACGAAGTCTGAGTTTAGTGTTTTAAATGGTCGTGTAATCTGCTCCATTGTAGTACCTTTGTTCTACTTGTTTCCCTTTCACAGCAAAACTCTGTGAAGTTAATCTTCTCAAAACCAATAATAATTATGAACCATAGTTCCACCGGTTCTTAAATCATCTCCAACTCATCTTCATTTTTTTCTCTAAAAAATAGAGTAAAAAATGAGGCAAATAGTATTTCATCTTCAATTCTACTCCATTTTTACGCCAAAAAAATATGTTCCTAGTATATTCTATTATTCCAACTTGTATAGATTGTCAAACACAACCATCTACTAATTTAGTTTTAACAAATATATAATCTATTTTTTTCATTACATTAATATTAAATACAAAAGATTATATTTATAATAAACTTATAAATAAATATTATACATACATTTATAAAAAAAAATATTACAAATACATACTTTTAAATAAATATTATATATATATACTAGACATACACACTTTTAGTTATAAGTTTTTGTAAAATAAGTTATCATTTTTAAAAATTTCAATATGTATTTAAATTTTTTATATGAATTTGATGAACAAAAAACAAATTTTATATTTATAATCAATTAATATAATTTAATATATAACAAAATATTATAAGTATAAAATATTATATTTAAATTATAGTTAGTAGGTAAAAATGAACTAGAAATGTATAAATATATAATCAGAGGGACTAAAACCGACAATGCAAACTTCATCTCCATTTTGGGAGAAATGAATAGTCTAATATCATATTTGGTGTAATACCATTCATATCCCCCAAAATAGGGGAATAAATAAGAGAGGGTTGGAGAAGAATGAGGAAAGAAATTGGAGGAAATGAAGAATGAGAGTGGGTTGGAGATGTTCTTAAAGCAACAAACATTCATCCAAATCTAATGGAATTAAGTCTAAGCAACTCCCAACAAACTGAAGCAACTTAACTGTATAATACTCGTTCATAGCATCACAATCAAAGCGACATTATCAAGGCTAAGATGCTAGAAAACAAAATTAAGACTTGAGATCAACTACAAAAACATAATTGAAGAAAATATAGCAATAACCCACCAAACAACAAAATCCTCAAAAGAATCAAACTCAAAACACATAACAAGTATATGAATTTGACCTAGCATTGCTTTAGTTCAATATTACATTTGATATTCCTACAAGATATCAATCAAAGCGGATTTCGGGCATTCGAAAACTTTACCGATACAATCCATATCAGAAATGTCCTCAAGCTCATCTTCTATCCTCTCATACTGTAGCCACACACAGAGAGTACAACCTTTGAATATATGTCGACAGCGTATTCCCGAGCCAACTGCAGACTTCTTTGAAGCAACTTCGGATCACCAATTGCGCAAAATATGTGACATCCCCAATTTCACGGCCAGAAAAAACCGATTTTTTTATGCTTTGTTTTTAAAATCAGAGTAAGCGTTTAAAGAAAACTGATGCGGAATTTGTTCCCAAAACAAAATATGATAAGAATTTATCAAAGCAATTCTTAAAGAAATGTATTTTCATTATATAACAAAATCTCGGGATGTCATGTTCCGATACAGACACATAAGCATAAACAGAACTTACATTCATTTACACTAATGATTTACATCTCCTTTAATCTCTCAGTGAAATATGTCTTCGTATTAATACGTGTGATACAAAGAAAACTGAGTGGGTCAGGCTTGGGAGCTAGTGAACATATAGGGTTTTCAACCCACAATAATATAATTCTTATATTCAACCATCAAACAATCAACCCAATTAACCATCTCCATTATCTTCTTTATTTCTTAGGATTTTACCCTTAGAATTCAACTACCCGCCATTCATTCATTCCTAAGGATTGACCTAAGGAATTGGTACAAAATCTATTGCTACATAAGGCGC